GTTTACCCGAAGCTTAGCTCCCAACGCGTGCAAAACAGACAAGGCCGTTTATTTATACCTTTCACACCAAAGCATTCAAGAGTACTTACAGAAATGAAAGACTTAAGAAGCCATCAAGAAACATATTATAAAATCGCCGACGATATGAACGGTTCACTTTGCTTGTGGGAGCAGCGAGCTTCCTAGACCCACAGGTGTTTTTTCTATCAGTATTTATGCCTCTGTCATTCTTTTTCGTCTTTCTTCTGCAGAGTTGTCACGCAGTGATAGTCATGTCTCAATTCATCTCCCACTGAGTCAGGCCTGCGTGCTCCTTGTTCGCAGGTGAATATGTTGCGCTGGTACAGCGTCGTGCCCTGGATTATTGACCACTTCTACCCTCCTCGCCATGATGTACACCTTAGATCGTGACGCACTAGAAAACCTCACATAGACCAGCCACTCCGCCTCATGCTATATTTCGCTTTTCGCGCCGCAATCCTTTTATGGCCACACCCAGGCGTCTTCCCGCTTGTCAGCAGTATTATGATTTAATCTCCGCTGGCTTACCCCAAGGCGTAACAGCGCGCTCAAGTTGAACGCCCACTCCCCGCGCTACAATCTTTTGATGAGAATATGCAAGTCCAGTATTGATTTTTCAATGTTTGCAGGAAATACATGATGTGAATTTGATGTGGCAGGGAAAAGAAAGTTTGGTCCTCTCTGCTCGAACTGCTACCTCCGTGACCGACCACGGATAAGGCGGGAGAAGATGATGGATGAAATCATAGATTAACCACTACAATTCATAAATTATACCAATCTCAATCCCTGTGCAGTGGGGCCTCAAATTGGGCCCCTGGCCCTGGTTATTCTTGAAAATACTTCATCTGCAATATCTTTTTGGGCCGTAAATCAATATACTTATGTTATTATAATGTCATTTTAAGTTTGCACATCTTTATTTATAATTTTTTCAAAATGTACATCCCTTCAGGTCAAACCCTGAACGCATACTGTCCACCTGAGTGGACATATACAAATCTCTTTGAAAAAACTAGATTAAAAAAAAAAAAGTTCAAATCTTGTTTTTCATGCGCCAAGAGCAAGAATAACACACAAATCCTGACTGAGGCTTTCATAATTCATGCATGAAAGGGTTAAAACATGAGCCTCAGGTTGCTGATAATAAGAGGAAATAGGAAGGGTATATTTCAAGCTTGTTATGTAAATAAGTTATTGGGCTTTTTTATGATCAACTTTTGATTCATGAATATTAGTGATCTAAAGAGATGTGAGAGGAACCAGTAGAGGGTATGTTGTATGATGAATGGATAAACACTCAACTCTGCCCTTTCCCTTTGGTAGGTCTGCCGAACATCTCATCTCCCATGTCACCGGGACGTCTCCATGGCGATGTTTAGCAGTGCTGAGCGGGTCTGGAACGAATCGGACCGCCTGTGGTGGGACTCGGAGAGGAACGAGAGCTCAGAGGCGTCAGAGCAGGATGAGCGTAACTACTACGCCATGCTCTACTCGCTGCTCATCCTGGCCATCGTGTTTGGAAACGTACTGGTGTGTATGGCCGTGGTGAGGGAGCGCTCCCTGCAGACCACCACCAACTACCTGGTGGTCAGCCTGGCTGTGGCCGACCTGCTGGTGGCCTCGCTGGTGATGCCCTGGGCCGTGTACCTGGAGGTGAGGAGCTCAGGGGGTCTGAATGTTGAGTGGTTTTCAGTGTTTCATTGTCTCAGGTTTCCTACATCTTACAGTTTTCCCATTGCCCTAATTTAGTGATGATGCCCAGGTCGACCCGGGTTGATCTGTGGGTCACGCAGGGTTTTGTGGAGCTTACTAGAAAATATTTTAGGGGATTCAGCAGATTTGTCAAAAAGGGGCGAAGAAGTGCTCTGAATAAGTTATCAGAAACTTACAGGAAGTCCACCTTACACCTGTTCTTCCTGTCTATATCTCCCTCTGTCTAACAAGCACTAAAGCACTTCAGTCTGTTGACTCTGTTTTTGTCTCAGACCTCAGCACTTAAAATAGTGCTGACACATTAATGCGTACAGTTAGCAGATAGTTGGTTGTTTCAGATGGTTGATATGGATCTTTTTATGGATTAGGCTGTGTGCTTCTTCTCTAACATCATTTAACATTTAAAACAAACGGTTATCATAAGCTAGCATGCAGCTATTTCCCTCAGGAGCTCCAACAAGCCGTTTAGGACAGAGAGTGAATACTCAATACTCAATACTCAATACTCAACACAGTCTCATGGCATTTCGTGTTCACCGACACGATTTCCCCCTTTTCTTCGTGTTGCACAGCACGATTTTAAAAGCAATGATAACAAATTAGAAGGAAAAACAGATTACATTTTTTTTTTCAGTATTCTGACACAGAACGATTTTAGAAGCAATCTATTTCTACTGGCCACTACATGTTTCGTGCCTGCACCAAATCATGACAAATTAGAAGGAAAAAATATGACAAAAAATACAGATTTCAGTATTCTGAGGCTCTGAGCCCAATTTATTTTCCTCGCCGACGGCAAAAGAACTCAGACATTATACAATTTAAAATAAAAGGGATAGGNCTCTGCTCGCTTCCCCCATATTATAATCCTTTTGCTCTCTCACCCACTGAAGTCACATGAACATGTAATTCCCCCCCGCGTACCCCCCCGCTTTTCATGTATTATGTTAGCTACATGTGTCCATGTTAGACCCAGAACTTGAGAAAATGAGGCAAAAAGCCTATGATACACCCTGTTATTGTGTTATAAATGTGTATATAAGGCTTCAATGCTACAAAAAAAAAAACAAAATCAATCAAACATTAAATATCCTATCTCACGCCTCGCCAACCCATCCAGTAGATAGTTTCCAGCTTCAAATGGTTTCGTTGTGTATGTTGTGTTACCATAATAGGACAAAGAAAAAATAATAACTACATAAAATAAATATAAAGAAAATATGTTTTACGTTGTTTGTTTTGTGATCCTTGGGTCCAAAAATGTTCATATAGTATCTCAAAATGAAATAAATAACTATCATGTTGTATAGGTGAGGTTGTCCTTTAAAAAAAAGATACCAAACATTGACATGCCAAACATTTCTTAATGGGGTTTAGTAAGACAAATCAAAAGTATGTGAAAACGGCCAAATTAGCCCAGGACTCCAAAGGGTTAAGTAGAAAATGCAAAACACTGTTTTGAATATCAACAAGCAATTAAGTATGTATTTGTGTCCCGGCAGCCTAAATTGGCACAACAGAATCAGCAGGAACACAAAACTAAAACAAAACTAAAACAAATGAGCCCCACAGCTGAGACCCTGTAAAACTAATGAGCATGTTTTGAAAATGCATGTCCAGTGTGGACTGCTCAGCTATCTCGACTTGATCTAGATCGGCTTGAAGGTGTTCTTTTCCCCATAATGACCAAGTCGCTGNAGCACAGATTGGATTCTGATGCTTTGCCTGGGAAGGTATTCAAAAGGGTTTGATTACAAAATCAATATCTGACGAACCGTCCGCTCTGCAGTTGGATGTGCAGACACATCCAACTGCAGAGCGGACGGTTCGTCAGATATTGATTTTGTAATCAAACCCTTTTGAATACCTTCCCAGGCAAAGCATCAGAATCCAATCTGTGCTAGCATTCAAATCAAATCAAATTTTATTTATATAGGACATTTTTAAAACGATTTGTGTTCGAGCCAAAGTGCTGTACATACAGTAAAAATACTTTACAATAAAGACACTTTACAACAGCACAGTTTGTACAGAACATCAGTATGAGAAAACGACACCCTCTGACCTTTGACCCTCACATCGTACAAGGAAACACTTCCAGAGAAACCCACAGTTTAAAGGGGAACATGGGAGAAACCTCAGGGAGAGCAACAGAGGAGGGATCCCTCTCCCAGGACGGACAGACGTGCAATAGATGCCGTGTGTAAATCAAAGAGATAATACATTTACAACATAGGTAGACCAAATGTTTGGAAATGCATGTGTCTGTAAGAAGAAGATGAATCCACGAGGATGTCAGCAACATTAGCATCCAACAAGCATTTATGTATTAACTCTGACCATAGAACACATACAGATAATACAAAACACACACACAAAACACTTATATAAATATAAGCCCGGGAAATATATAAGTACAAAGTGTAGAGGTGCTGTAAACAATTCAATTAACTTAGGTTCACTTTGATCAGGGAACTTGGTTATGCTACATTAAAATAGCGACCGCCATTACACACACACACACACACACTCTCTCTCTCTCTCTCTCTCTCTCAATTCAATTCAAAGGGGCTTTATTGGCATGAAAGTTAAATTAAGCAATGTTGCCAAAGCATCACAATACAAAATAATTAACAACATTAACATACATTTCAAATGTTTACATATTATTGATGATATATATATACAGTGATACAATTACATCTCTCTCTCTCTCTCTCACACACACGCACGCACGCACACACACGAGGCAGTCTCCCACGCGGCATCGAAGACAATAAACAACATCCAAACACTAGGACATTGCGTCACAACACACATGCTTAAAAATCTAATGTAGGATATAAACCCAACCAAACTGCACTGATAGCAAAGCTGTGGCTTGTGTTCGTGGGGATCGATAACGTCTAAATCATCGTCACCCAATCAGTGACGTCTGAGGAAGATTAAAAAATGTAAAATAAACATTGTTGAGAAAATGCTGCATCTCTCTTGACGTAGAGGAGCCTCATTGTTTACCTTTAATATATGTTTTTTTAACTTTCAATTGCTTGGTTTTCGTGAAGTTAGTCTCTTAAAGTGTAACAGATTGATGCATCTCCACAGACCATCTTAAAGGCTTAGGAATCCCCCCATTGTAGTTTGACAAAATAGGGCCCCCAAAAAGCTAGAAACGGCCCTGAGTACCAGAGTGTAGGAAAACTCAAGTATCTCTATATCGTACTTCTCTCAGGTTCGATTGTGCGGACCGTCAGTTCCACTCCATCCCAGCGACGTGGCAGACGCTCATGGACAACCCCAACGACGTCAAGGAGCTCATCCCGGAGTTCTTCTACTTCCCAGAGTTCCTGGAGAACCAAAATGGTGAGGTTTCAATATCAAATATAGGCTTTTACTGTGGATGAAATGATTGACCGTTACCATCGGAAATCTGATGTTTTCTGAAGGGAGAGCAAATAAACAAACCTTTGAATGAAGACCTACTTAACAGGAAGTGCTAAATGTGTAATTTGTTGTGATTCGAAGGGAGATGCAGGAAAGATATATTTACTTTAGATATGTATCAGCAGATTTAGACTCCACGACCATTAGACCTGCCTTCATTTGCTCCCTGCATTAAAACATGTAAGAAAAGAGATAATCAGTGAGTCTGTACAGCGTATTTTCTGTCCTAACTTCCCTGTTCTTTCCCTCTTTCTCATCCTTTGTTCCTGCCGTGGTTCAGGTTTCGATCTGGGTCGCCTGCAGATCTCAAAGGAGAGGGTAAATGACGTTATTCTGCCAAAATGGGCCAAGTCCCCGGAGGATTTCATCTACAAACACCGCAAAGCCCTGGTGAGATCAGCTCTTAGTGGCCATTCTTAGTAATTATTAGGGATATAACGATATATCGAATATCGCGGTGAATAAATGTCTCAATACCGTCGTGAGACTGACAAAATCCACCGATTTTTTTAATGTTTTAAAAATATTTTATTACATTTTTTTATATATTTTTTTAAACCTTTATTTAACCAGATGGTCCCATTGAGATCATCAATCTCTTTTTCAAGGGAGACCTGTCCAACATGGCAGCAAGTAGGTTACAACATGAACTTAAAACAACAGATAACACCAAAGGACATGGTATTTACAGGGCTACATGTACATACCTAGAGACATTGACAAGTACCAACAGTATATTTATATCTCGCCCTGTCAATAAGCCTCACCTTCTTGGAAACAACTGTATTGATTTTGAAGTGGTGGAGAGACAATGCACAGTTTGACCCACTGCTGTCACCCATGGCCAAAGCATATCTCTCTGTCCCAGCAACATCAGTACCAAGCAAGAGAGTTGTTTCCACAGCAGGGGATATTGTAAACGCCCAAACATCCCAGCTTGAGTGAGTGAGTGAGTGAGTGAGTGAGTGAGTGAGTGAGTGAGTGAGTGAGTGAGTGAGTTAGAGTTAGTTGAAAAACTAAAGTGAAAT